CCAGGCACTATGATGCATGCCTGTGATCCCAGTGGTTTAGGACACTGAGGCAGGAGGATCGAGAGTTCAAGGCCAGCCTCAGCAATTTAGTGAGGCCCTAAGCAACTCGGTGAGACTCTGTCTCTAAATAAAATACTTTTAAAAAGGGCTGGAGGATATGGCTCAGTGGTTAAGTACCCTTGGGTTTGATACCTAGTACCAAAAAAAAAAAAAAAAAAAAGGCAAAAAACAAAAAATGAAGAAACACAAACGGTGCAGGCAGTGGCACACGCCTGTAATCCCCACAACTCAGAAGACTAAGGCAGGAGGATTGTAAGTTCAAAACCATCCTCAGCAACTTAGTTAGAACTTGTCTCAAAAAATAAAAAGGGCTGGGGATGTAGGTTAGTAGTCAAGCACACCTGAGATTGATCCCCCAGTACCCCCACCCCCGCAAAAAATACAAATAATAACAACAAACATGGGGGCTGGGGATATAGCTCAGTGCTTGCCTCATATACACAAGCCCTGGGTTCAATTCCCAGCACCACCAAAAAATAATAACAGCAGCAAACATTAGTGAAGATGTTGGAGGGGGGTACTGCTCATACATTGTTGGTGGGACTGCAAATTAGTGCAAAACCATTCTGCTTTTTTTTTTTTTTTTTTGTACCAGGGATTGGACCCGGGGTGCTTAACCATTGAGCCACATCCTCAGCCTTAAAAAAACAAAACAAACAAACAAAAAAAAAACTTTATTTGTTTATTTATTTTTATGTGGTTCTGAGGATCAAACCCAGTGCCTCACACATGCGAGGCAAGCGCTCTGCCACTGAGCCACAGCCCCAGTCCTCCCCAGCCCTTTTAATAATTTTTATTTAGGAACAGGGTCTCGTTAAGTTGCTCAGGCTGTTTTTGAATTCAAGACCCTCCTGCTCCAGCCTCCCTAGCTGCTGGGATTACAGGCATGAACCACCACACACAGCTAGTGCAAACACTCTGAAAAGCAGTATAGAGATTCCTCAACATACTAGGAAATGAACCACCATTTGACCTAGCTATTCTCCCCAGTATATATCCAAAAGGTTTAAAATTAACATACTACTGTGATGCAGGCACATCAATATTTATAGCAGCACAATTCACAATAGCCAAGCTATGGAAGAAACCTAAGAGTCCTTCAACAGAAGAATGAATAAAGAAAATGTGGTATATATACACACAATGGGGTGTTACTCAGCCATAAAGAAGAATGACATTAGGGCATTTGCCAATAAATGGGTGAAACCGGAGACTATCATGCTAAGTAAAATAAGCCAGTCTCAAAAAGTCAATGGTCAAATGTTTTCTCTGACATGCAGAAATTAATCTAAAATAAGGGTGGGGAGATAAAAATCAATAAAATACCAGGCTGGGATTGTGGCTCAGAGGTAGAGTGATCACCTAGCACGAGCGAGGCCCTGGGTTCGATCCTAAGCACCACATAAAAATAAATGAATAGAGGTATTGTGTCCAACTACAACTAAAAATAAATAAATAAAATAAAAAGGCAATAAACTAGATCAGTGGAGTTGACAAAGGAGATCAAAGGGGAGGGAAGGAGGGAGGAGGGATGGCCTAAGGAAAGGACAGTGGAATGAGTCTGACCTAAGTTTCCTATGTACATATATGGCTCTCACAGTGATCTCACCATCATGTATATCCAAAGATACTAATTTAAAATAAAACGATAAATAAATAGAAGAAAGGTCAGTAGAGTACAGGAGAGGGAATGGGGGGGGGGGGAAGAAGGGAAGGAAAGGGGAAGTGCCGGGGAAAGAATTAGAACAAATTATATTCCATACTTTTATGATTACTTCAAAATGAATTCCAATGTTGTGTATAATTAAAAAGAAACAATAAAAATAAAATACAAAACTTGATTTAAAAACAAGACTATGAGCCTGCTTGCAGGTAATACACGCCCACCACCACCAAAGACCCCAAATCAAAACTCAACTCTAAACCAGGCCCTGTGGAGCGTGCCTGTAATCCCAGCAATTTAGTGAAATCAATTTAGTGTCTCAAAAATAAAAAAAAAATTTAAAAAAAATTTTTAAAAAAGACTAAGGATGAAGATCAGTGGTAAAACATGCCTGGGTTTAATCCTCAATACCAAAACACTAGGCTGGGGCTATAGCTCAGGTGGTAGAGTGCCTGCCTCGAATGCACAGGGCCCTGGGTTCAATCTCCAGCACCATTAAAAAAAAGAAGAAGAAGAAAAGAAAGAAAGAAGAAATACAAAAAAAAAAAAAAAACCACCCCAAATTCAACCCTAAACTAGGTGCAATGCTGCACAATTGTAATCCCAGATACTTGGGGAGCCTGAGACAGAAGGATCACAAATTCAAGACCAGCCTAGGCAACTTAATGAGACCCTGTCTCAAAATAAAAAATAAAAAGGGCTGGAAATGTGACTCAGTGGTAGAGCGCCCCCTAGGTTCAATCCCTAATAATGCTAAAAAAAAAAAATTCAACTCTAGACCAAAACTTCTTTTTTGAAGAGAGGGGTAGTGTTTATGCTAGGCAATTGCTCTACCACTGAACTGCAGCCCCAGCCCTAGACCAACCTTCTTTTGAAACTCCAACTCATAAGTAAAGAGAAGAGGAAAAATCTTTTCATGTTTTCTTAAATTCCGCTTCCCAGACAAGGCCTTGTTCCCTGCCTTCCTGCCTTTATTGAGCCCCTGCTGCATGCCAGGCATTGTGATGACACTGGAAATTCAAGTGAATAGAAATAAGCACACAGTTCTTGGAGTTCTGTTCTATGGGCACCTCTAATTATAAAGTGCAAAAATCTGATGAGAGATTTGGATCTTACAATGGGAAAGGCAGAGGAATAAGGGACAAGCAGCAACTTCAACTGCTCTGTAAACACTAATCCAATATTAACTTGCAAAAATGTCCAACAAGAGGTCAATTTGATGTGAGTGAACATTGATTATAAAAATTTTCAGCTTCATACTATTGCAGTTGATCCTCTAAAACATTCTTGAGGTCATTGGCATCAAATCATGAGCACAATCTAATTTGCATTAGTTCCCATCAGGCTCTGAGTTTTTGATTAGCTTGATTTAGCCATTCTGCAATGTGCACATATTATGAGTCTTTGAAATCTCCACCAGTAGCAATGGTGGAAATATACAGAAATTGGAGTCTGACTGCCTCAGACTCCATTGTTTATGGACTATGTGAACTTGGAGCAATTTATTTAACCTCTTGGAATTCATTATTCTCATCTGTTAAATGGGAATAATAATAGTATATTTCCAACAGGATTATAAGATATAAATGAGTTTTATATGATTAAAATATATCCAAATTGGTAAATATTCAATCCATAGCTGAGGGCAGTGGCACATGCCTGTAATATCTCAGAGACTTGGGAAACTGAGGCAGGAGGATCACAAGTTCCAGGCTGGTCAGGGAAACTTAGTGAGACCTATCTTGAAGAAAAAATAAAAAATACTGGGGCTGTAGCTGTAGCTAAGTGGTAGAGCGGCTGCCTTGCAAGTGTGAGGCCCTGGGTTCGATCCTTAACACCACATAAAAGCAAATAAACAAATAAAGATATTGTGTCCATCTACAACTAAACAAATATTAAAAAAAAAAAGTACTGGGGATGTAGCTCAGTGATAGAAGACCCCTGGATTCAATTCCCAGTATTGAAAAAAAATTCAATCCTAGCTTTTTTTGCTATTATTATTAAAAAGAAAACAATGAGGGATATATATTGGGAAGATGTTGATTAAAGTATATAAAATCACAGGAAGAATAAGTTCAAGAGATCTAATGTACAACATGATTATAGTTAAATAACCATGTACTGTACACTTGAAAATTGCTGACAGTAGAATTTATGTGTTCTCATCACCAATAAATGATAACTAGTGCATAAGTAATGCAAGGTGTTATATATATGCTATTTGGTTTGATTTAGCCATTCCACAATGTGCACATATTATGAAACACTGTGCTGCACATCATAAATATGTATAATTTTAAGTGTTAATTATAAAATAAAATATGAACTAGGACTGAGCATGATGGCACACACTTAAAATCCCAGCAATTTGAGAGACTGAAACAAGAGGATCTCTAAGTTCGGGGACAGACTGGGCAATTTAGCAAGGCCTCAGCAACTTAGTGAGACTCTGTCTAAAAAATAAAAAGGGTGGAGGGGCTGGGGATATAGCTCAGTTGGTAGAGTGCTTGCCTTGCACGCACAAGGTCCTGGGTTCAGTCCCCAGCACCACACACACACACACACACAAAGTAGAGATGTAGTTCAATGGTTAAGTGCCCTTGGGTTCAGTCCTTAGTATAAAAATAAAAAATTAAAAAATTATAAAAAAAGAAGGGAAGAAAAAAAGGAAATATGAAATGTGGATGCAGTTGGGTTCAATCCCCAGCACAGGGCACAAGAGACAGAAAAGCACCCACCAGTGGTACATGCCTATAATCTCAGTTATCCTGGAAGCTGAAGCAGGAGATTCACCATATATTAAGTACTGTCCTAGAAATTGAACCCAGGGCACTCTACCACTGAATTATATCTCAGCCCTTTTATTTTTTATTTAAAAACATTTTTATAAAAACATGTTATACATGGACACAATATTTTTATTTTGTTTATTTATTTTTATGGGGTGCTGAGGATTGAACCCAGTGCCTCACATGTGCAAAGCAAGTGCTCTATCGCTAAGCCACAACCCCAGCCCCTCTTTTGTTTTTATTTTTTTGAGATAGGGTCTTGCTAAATTGTCCAGACTGACTTCAGACTTTCAATTCTCCTGACTCAGCCTCCTGAGTCATTGGAATTATAGGCATACACCACCACACCTGGCTCGAATCTGCACTTTTAAACAAATGCCCCAGATGATTCGGAATCAGGTGGTCTTGGGAAAACATGCCCTAGGACATCCTGGGGGGTCTGAGTGTTAACTTCATTCATGGTCAACCAGTTTCCAAGAGAATCATGCTGACATTACTGTGCCTATTTAATGTGAATCAGTCTTTATTTTGCACTGGTGTGGTGCATTAACAAATTCAACATACAAGATAGCATTACATATTGTAGGTTAGCGTTACAGCATTATGCAATTTCACACAATTCATGTTAGCTTTTCATTTGTTTTTTTGTTTTTTTTGTTTTTTTAATTTGACACATTTTATTTTTGTTTCATTTTTACAAGAGAAGACACAAGGTAAAGAAAGACGACCACTTTGGAGAGGGATCATGGTGAGGGCAATGTCACTGTCATGGCCATAGTAAAAGCCTTCCAAAAGGGACTTGCATTTTCCCTCTCCTGAGCAAGCCACCCCTGTCCCACAAACCAGCTCTGTTCTCATACCTAGAGCACGGTCCATCAACATGTACATCTTGGCTGTGCTCCTCTGAGAACTGAAATAAGGAATAACTCATACAGGGATTTCTGTTATTATGAAAAACTCTTGTCTCAAGGGAATCAAGATATACAGACAGAAGGACTGGCTCTTGGAAAATCAGAAGTGACCATTCCCTAACCTATTCCTGACCACGAGTGCTTTGTGCAAAAGGTAGGATGTGACTCTCTTGTCTTTCAACTGACTCCACCCTTCCCAGTTAGCTCTGGAAAGAACAAATTCGAAAACCAAAGTTAGCTAAGAAACTTTGGGACAGCAAAATGCAGGGCACGATGGATCAGGCCTGAGGTAGGAGGGGGGAACCCTGTACTGTCCACCTCTTCGCCTTTTTCTGGCAAAAGACACGGAGGCAGCTCCTAGCCTACCACTGGTTCCTCCCCTGGCACCTCACCATCCACTGCTCCGTAGACCCAAAGAATGAAAGGTATAAAGCTACAAGGAGGTGGGGGAGAGAGGAGTGGGGTGAGGTTGTCTTCCCAGACTGACGTCAGGAGGAGCTACAGAGGCACACACAGCAGGGCAAAGACCAGACTACCTCCACCTGTTGCTTTGCATTGTTTCTGGGAAGGAAACAAAAGCGGGTTGCTTAGCGATTTCTGATCTTTAGACATTAAGGCGATGAAGAGGAACCATTTAAAAGTTTTCCTAATGGGGCTTCAGAGTGCTCCTGCCAAATTTACATTAAACTATCTTGAAATGCATTTTTAGAAAACAAAAATTATTTTCTTCTACGTATGATACAGTATTTACACTCTATAGATTAAAGGACAGAGACTAGTAGTGCGTGACCCCAAATGATGATGAATGAGATAGTGAGTTGGATTATGGGGACCGGAGGGGGAATGTCAGGAATACAAACAGAGAGTGGGCTTTGTGCCTGCACAGAACTGCTCTGCATTGTCAAGAAATATGGGTTCAAAGAAAAACCAAACAAAAGAACTGGAGTGTGTGGGAGATACAGATGGGATTTAAATCCACTAGAGCTAAGGGAACAACAAAGGCAATGTTACCATACCACCCTGTCCATGCAGACTCAACGCTTGTATTCCCTTCTCAGAAGCAAGTTGGAAAGGAAGGATCTTGTGGATTGAAGTGGACAATCCAATCTCGGTTACTCTTTCAGGCCCTTAATCAAGCTGTTGTTTATTTGATTGCGTTCCTCTTCAGACTGAAAAAAAATCTGTACTGCCTGTCCAAGCTCACCTGTGGGTAATGAGGCCTCTGCCATATGAAAAGTCTCAACTGTGGAGACAAAGCTACACTAGGAGTGAGGAGTCCTGAATTCGAATTCCAGCACAACACTGAATCTCTCAACCTGTTCTGCCCAGTGTTTCCCTCATCCCTTTACCATGTCATGAGACTCAGAAGTTCCAAGAATGATGTACTTTGTTTTGAGGGAAAAGAGGTTCTGAAAACATTCAGGTTACTTTTCTTTTTATCTTGCGGTCCTAAGAATGGAACCCAGGGACTCTACCGCTGAGCTACATCCTACCCCTTTTTATTTTTTTCATATATATATATATATATATATATATATATATATATATATTTTTTTTTTTTTTTGTGGTGCTGGGGATTGAACCCAGGGCCTTATGCATGTGAGGCAAGCACTCTACCAACTGAGCCATATCCCCAGCCCTTTTATTTTTTATTTTGAGACAGGGTTTTGCTAAGTTGCCCAGGTTGGTCTCTAACTTGCAATCCTCCTGCCTCTGCCTCCAGAGTTGATGGGCACCACTATGCCCACCCCAAGTTACCATTACTACTCAGCCACACTGTTATTTTTTAAGAGCTATTATTGAAAATTTCAAGGAGAAATAATCATTTCTGAGGGCCTTTCATGAAGCAAAACTTACTTCATTGTAACATCTGAGTCACCTGAGAAGATTCTTATTCTCCATGGTCAGCCTTCCTGGAAAAACAAAGGCCGATGTAATCCTTCCAACCTCTGAGGACTTCCAACCCATCAGCTAAGGAATGGCTGTCACTACCGGATATAACTACCAAAGGGGATGGAGGTCCTCTCATTTCTCTCCTCCTTGTCCTCATACCTGCAAATAACATTTGGAATCATCTGGGTGAGTTCACTGGTATTCTCCTAGAGCTGAATTTGAAGCCTCCAAAGCTCATTTTAAAGAAATTGTCTAGTTTTGTAAATCCAACTTCTTCCTGGTAAGTCTGATGAGTTTTATGTGCTTTGCTGGGGCTACCAGTGAGTCATAGACTACCAACTACCCCTTCAGAGCAGGAAGATTAACAGCAAAAATACCCCCCTGCTCAATTACTCCTTCTCTTGCAAACCCTGCCTTTTCACTCAACCTTTGTTTCTTGGCTTACTATAGACCTCTGGACCTTGGTCTCAGCCAAAGAGCAGAGACGTGAGAGGTAACAGGGAGAAAAGATGGAGATAGTGAAAACATGAGGCTTTACAAGAGCAAAAATTTGTTTTCTGCCAAGGTGGGGAGAAGGACTAACTCTCCAGAGAAGCCCAGTAAAAAGAGGCCAATTTCAGGTAATCAGCAAATACGATTCGGCACAAAACACAATTTTCATGGATTAAAATCTGCAACTTGATATTGGCAATTAGGCTAATTTCTTCAGTTTGTATTAGACATGCAAGTATAAGGTTACAGTGTTATATATAGACTTGTAGGGGTCTTTCCCTCTCTTTCCCCGCCCCATTTAAAAAACAAAAGAATTTCTAGTGCCTTGCAAAGGAGAAAAAAAATCGTCTTTGCTAAGAACTGATCTGCGGCTGTGGTGATGTGGGATGTTCCTTGTCGGGTTTGTTTTGTAAGAAATTTTCTTCTACAACTAAAATGAGGTTTTGAGTCCGCTTCTCTGACATCTCTCCCCACCATGTCCCTCCCCAGCCTGGCCCCAGGGTTAGAGGCGAGAAGAACAGGATTAGTACTCGCTCAGACTGTGCCACTTGGCTACAGGCTTGCGGGGACTCTCGCAAACCTCTCTCCAGTGCTCGGCACCACTGCTTGTGACACTGTGTGCCCCCAGGATCAGCCTCCCCACCACCTCGTTCTTGGTGGTGCGATCGAAGTCGATGACGAGGAACTCGATGCTGATGTCAGGCAGGAGGTCGGTTGGGATGTCATAGATGAAAGACTCATTGAAGATGGGGTTCAAAGTGCACTTCTTTACATGGGTTTTCTTCTTGGCAATGCGCTTTCTGCCGTAGTAGACGTTCACCTTGACATAAGGATCTGGGGCCCCCAAGGAGACAAGAAAAAGAGAGACAAGCCTATGACACGGTCCTCTCTTATATAACGATCATTTCATGTTGGGACTCTGCTACTCAGAGCTTTGGTGACCACCCCAACAAAGTCTCCAGGGACTGCTTCCTAAATGTACACACACTACAGGTGAGTCTGTCCGCTTGATAGAGGGCCAAGAAAACCAACAGGAGCAGAACAGATCAACTTCCTTCATCAGGACTGAAGCAAGCATTTTCTTTCTCTTTTTGTTCACACTAGGGATTTTACCTAGGAGTGGTCTTTCACTGAGCTACATCGCTGGCAAAACTTTTATTTATTTTTATTTTTTATTTTTGGTACTGGGGATGGAACCCAGGAGCACTTTACCACTGACTACATCTCCAGTCTTTTTATTCTTTATTTTGAGAAGGATCTTCTTAAGTTGCTGAGGGCCTCACCAACTTACAGAGGTTGGCCTTAATTTACAATCTTTCTGCATCACCCCCCTTATTTTTATTTATTTATGTTTTATTTTGCTAAATTGCAGAGGCTGGCCTTGAACCTACAATTCTCCTATCTCAGCTTCCAAAGTCACTGGGATTATAAGCATATGCCACCAAGCCCAGTTAACAAAGAAGCAGTTTTTTAAAAATATATTTTTAGTTGTAAATGGACACAATACCTTTGTTTAATTATTTTTATGTGGCTCACATGTGCTAGGCAAGTGCTCCAACACTGAGCTACAAACCCAGCCCTTTTTTTCCCCCCTGAAGTTAAACATTTTGTTTTTAATTTTGTTGCAAAGCTGTTGCTTCAGTGTATAAAGATAACACCACATGAAGGCATTTATAAAGTTGTTCTTCTGATACTGTACAATAAACACTTTCCTCCACTCCCAGTTATTACCAATGGAAAAGTCATTAAGTATGTTGACCTAAATCAATGGGTCAATGGTTGTAAGGAACTTACAATATTATCAATATTATATAAGACTTACAACAACAAGTTTATCCTTAAATTGCATAATTTTTTTGGGGGGGTACCAGGGATTGAACTCAGGGGCACTTAACCACTTGAGCCACATCCCTAGCCCTTTTTCTTTCTTTCTTTCTTTTTTAATGTTTGATGATTGTCCTTTATTTTATTTATTTATTTATTTATTTATTTATTTATATGTGGTGCCGAGACTTGCCTCACGCATGCCAGGCAAGTGCGCTACCGCTGAGCCATAACCCCAGCCCTGTTGTTTTTGCTTTTGAGACAGGATCTCACTAAGTTGCTTAGGGTCTCACTACATTGTTGAGGCTGGCTTCAAACTTGCAATTCTCCTGCCTCAGCCTCCCGAGCCACTAGGATTACAGTTATGCACCACCATACCCAGTGAATTACATGATTTTTTTTTTAAGATTTTTTTTTTAGTTGTTGACAGACCTTTATTTTTATTTATTTTTATGCGGTGCTGAGAATCGAACCCAGTGCTTCACACATGCCAGGCAAGTACTGTACCACTGAGCCCCAGCCCCAGCCCTTACATGATTTTTATAAGTATAATTTAATGAATTTACCACAGATAATTTAATGAATTCTGAATACCACAGCCTAAAGTCCACTCTAATAATCATAAGGTATTGTAAAAAAGATATAAATTGTGTTTATGCAATCATTGGGAAGTTAAGGGGTATTTTCTTCCTGTATCAGGAAGTTTTCGAGAGCATGGGGACTAACAATGACTGTAGTCCTTTTGAGAAGTTATGACTTCTGGAGCAATGCTCAGCTCCTGGCCTGCAGACCTTTTAGGATGCCTAGTGAAATGTAAATACCTCCTTTGTTCACCCAAAGCACTTCCCCACCTATTGGACATAAAGACAGAGGCAAGGGCTCCTGAAATGTGGGGTATGTCTGGGCCACAGGCAAGGAGTGTGGGGTGGTTCAGATGGTCACACATAGGTTGAAGTAAATAGCTGCTACCTGAGAGACCGGTGATATCCATCTTCGGCAAGTGTCTGGCTTTGAGGACCACCACTGTCATTCTCTGTGCCACCGGCTGATATGACAGAGACACCTGGAGCTCCCCTCTACTAATGCACTTCTGTAAGAGAGAAAGAGCAAGTGAGAATCCAGAAGGAGGGAGCAGGGCATGGCACAGAAATTGTGCAGAGGAGTGGAAAGAGAAGCAGGGGTGAACAGGAAAGATGTTCATTCTCTGAGAGGAAGTTATGATCCTATTTAACACAGGGGAAAGGAAGCAGAATCTCTTCTGAAATTAAGTACGATCCTTGGCATGGAAGAGCAGCATAGCCTCACAGTTAGGAGCATGGACTCCGAGGCCAGAGTGGCCTGGTTTCTTTCTTTCTTTTTAAATTTTTTTCACATCAGGGAAGTTGAGGCAAGTGCTATTTCATATCAACAACCTTGGATAAGTTACTCAACGTCTTTGTACTTTAGTTTTCTAATAATAACAATACCTACCTCATAGGATTATTAGGATCAAATGGGTTCAAATTTGGAAATTACAACACTGCCCAGCACTTAGTATTCTCTCATTTGATTCTAGGGATAAAATTAAGTTTTGCCATGTGCAGTGGTGCTGTCACCCCAGCAACCCGGGAGGATGAGGTAGGAGGATTGCAAGTTCAAAGCTAGACTCAGCAACTTAGTGAGACCCTGTCTCAAAATAAAACACAAAAAAGGCCTCAGTGGTAGAGCACTTGCCTAGCATACACAAGGTCCTGGGTTCAATCCCCACACTGAAAAGGAAAAACAAAACTTTTTTTTAATTGGAGCTGGGTATGTATCTCAGTGGTAGGGTGCAAGCTTAGTGTGCACAAGGCCTAGGTTCAGTCCTCATCACAGAAGGAAGAAAGAGAAAACAAAAAGTTTTGAAGACCTTGGTGAGGAGGTAGGAGATGTGGGTTTGAGTCTTTGCCACTTACCACGAGGCCATGGGCAAGGCCTTGAACTTTCTGAAGCTTATTCCTCCATTTTTCAAGGTGAATATCCATACCTGTTCTACCTGCCTCAGTGCATGCACTTCAGTACCTTTTCCAAGATGCCCTTTTATCTGCCTCTTCATCTTTGTTGTTATGTCTTTTCATTTATTCTAGGCTGTATTCTGAATTCTGGGGAAAACTCTATGCTTTGAAGAACTTTTTTTAAATTTATTTACCTTTTATTTTTGCAGTACTGGGGGTTGAACCCAGGAGTTCCTGAAGGCTAGGCAAACATTTTCTTACTTATATTCCATCCCAGCCCTCCTTCCTCCGTCTCTATTTATCTATCAATCTATGCTAGGGATTGAACCCAAGCGTGCTTTACAACTGATCTACATCCCCAGTCCTTTTTATTCTTTATTTATTTTATTTTATTTTTTATTTATTTATTTTTTAAAATTTTAATATTTATTTCTTAGTTCTCGGCAGACACAACATCTCTGTTTTGTATGTGGTGCTGAGGATCGAACCCGGGCCGCACGCATGCCAGGCAATAGCGCTACCGCTTGAGCCACATCCCCAGCCCTTTATTCTTTATTTTTGAGACAGGGTCTTGCTAAGTTCCTCAGAGCCTCACTAAATTCCTGAGGCTGGTCTTGAACATGCAATCCTCTTGCATCAGCCTCCAGAGTGACTGGATTAAAGGCATGCACCATCATGACCAACTGGCCTTTAACATTTGAACCACATTTGGATATTTACTACATGCTACATACTAGGAATTCAAAGCTGACAGGACTCAGTTCTTGCTCCCCACGAGTTTAGCATGCAAGACATAGAGATGCAAATATACGTGTACTTGTCAGAATAATAAGAAGTCTGTTCTAAGTGCTCTGGGTACTCAAGAAGAATGAGGCTGACATGGCTTGCAGAAGCAGAGTTGACTTTTCTAGCTGATATCTGGGCTGAGTTGATAGAGAATAAAAAATAAAATATGAGGTAGCTTGGTGCAGTGGCACAAACCTGTGATTCCAGCGACTTAAGAGGCTGAGGCTGAAGGATCACAAGTTTGAGGCCAGCCTCAGCAATTTAGTGACACACTGGCTTAAAAAGTTTTCCAAAGGGCTGAGGGGTATAGTTCATACCCTGGATTCAACTCCCAGTACTAGGGAAAAAAATAAGTCTGAGGCAATGAACAGATGAGCAGAAAGATCGTGTACAGCCCAGCAACAGGGACCTAAAAGTGTATGCAATGTTCAGAGAATGGTGAGAGGTGAGGGTGTGTGAAGTTGGGGAGTTTGTCAGAAACCTGGGAGGGTGAGTGGGCTACGCTAGGGCGATGAACTGTAGGGACAAAATGGCAGTTTGCCACTCACAGGCAAGAGGAGGTCTGTAAGAATACAAGTAACAATGCTGTTATTTTATTAAAATGACCATGACTTTAGAGACAGTTGGAGAATGAAGTAAAGTAGGGAAAGGTCAAAGTCAGAGGCACCTGTAATGGACAAGGAAACAGAAATGAGGCTGAGACAAGAAAAAAAGTAAAAAGGAGGAATTTAGGACAGAAGTTAAATGTGGGACAATATTATCTCCCTGTTATCAAACTGCATTCTTTGTATTCTTTCAGACCCCAAAGAACTGTCACCTACTCCAGGATTGCTTTGATTGAGTAAAATAGACTGGCTGCGTTCGGCGCCACACACCTATAATCACAGTGACCCTGGAGGCTGAGGCAGGAGGATTGGAAGTTAAAGGCCTGTCTGGGCAAGTTGGCCAAACCCTGCCTCAAAATAAAAAAAGACTTGGGATATAGCTCAGAGGTAGAGTGCTCCTGGGCTCAATTTCTAGTACCAAAAAATAAAGAGAGAGAGAGAGAGAGAGAGAGAGAGAGAGAGAGAGAGAGAGAGAGAGAGAGAGAGAGAAATAGCAACTTCCCAAGGGAGAAGAGCAGATAGATCAAAATCACTTCTAAAATTTCACTTATTGGTCAGCATCCAGATGCTGTGTCCAGTTTGCCTCAAACAAGCTGGACCACAGTACTAGACCCTTCATTACATCAGGAACCTGGGGAGTAATTAATTAATTCTCCAAAATGATGTGATCTTCCTCCACTGAACTTATTTCTCACTACTGAGAAACTCAAAAAACTAGTTCGGGTGGATATGGTTGTGGTTGTGCACACTGCTACTCCCAGTGAGTTGGAAGGATGAGGCAGGAGGAGTGCAAGTTCAAACCCAGCCTCAGCAACTTAGTGAGTACCTGTCTCAAAAGAAAAAATAAAAAGGGTTGGGGATGTAGCTCAATGGCTAAGCACCCCTGGGATCTATCACCAGTACCAAAACAAAATAAAATAAAAACATAGTTGAGTAATTTTCTCTCAGATCCCTTTTCCCACCCCAAATGTAGGGGTATAAATAGTCTCATGTACCGGTCTTTTTATAAGTATTTTATACATCTGATTTAATGAATTACTTCACCCTTCCAGTCCCAACCGTTTGCCATATAGGCCTCTCCCTCTCCCTTCCTCCTTTCCCCGTTTGCATCAGAAGGAGAATGAGAGCCTTTTCTCCCCCTCTTCCCAGGGGGCCAACATTGGCTTGGGTTAGCTGAGGAATATAGGAAGTGTCTCTATCCCATCCCACTAGCTCATGGGTCCTTTCTTTAATGCTGTAGTTACACACTGGGCTTTCTCCAGAATTGCTTGCCTTCACTTTACAGCTTACTCCTTCCTCCTAGGTGACAATGGGTAGATTACTCAACCCCTCTCAGCCTCTATTTTATTGTTATTATTGTTGTGTGTGTGTGTGTGTGGGGTACTGGATGCTGAACCCAGGAATGCTTTACCACTGAGCTACATCCCCAGTACTTTTATTTATTTATTTAAACTTTGAGATAGTGTCTCACTAATTTGCTGAGACTGACCTAGAACTTGTGACTCTCCTGCCTCAACCTCCCAAGTTGCTGAAATTATCGGAGTGTGCCATTGTGTCTGGATACATTTTTTGGGGGGGGGGGTCAGGAATTGAACGCAGGGGCACTTAACCACTGACCTGCATTTCCATTTCCAGCCCTTTTTGATATTTTATTTAGAGATAGGGTCTCACTGAGTTGCTTAAGGCCTTGCTCAATTGCTGAGGCTGGCTTTGGACTCATGATCCTCCTGCCTCAGACTCCTGAGCCATTGGGATGACAGGCATGTGCAATTACACCTGGCTGTCTAGCTGAAATTTTATAGAGAGAGTTTTACTCTTTTTTCAGGGTAAACGTAAGTGGCTAATAGTGACGACTTTGAAATCAGACCGATTCTAAATCCAAATTCCACCAGCTAAACAACCTTGGGCAAGCTGTTTAATTTCTCTAAGCCTTAGTTTCTTATAGGAATAAAGTAAAATGGGTGACTTTACATGCCACCTAGCACCTAGTAAGACTTCAGTAAATTGTGACTATTACTATTATATCTATTATTAACCAAGTTTGATACCTGGGAGCTATGTGTGGTTTGTAGATATTAATATTTGGTTTTGACAAAGCAAATAAAGATAAGGAAGCCTGAATCAGTGGAGAAGGAGATTTAGAAAGGCCACTGAAAAACAACTGCACATCTTCTAGAAAGAGCCTTGCCTATAGATGCTGCACGTCTCTCTTGGTGTCTTTTCCACCTGCAAGCCCACTCCAGACTCTGAGGAGAATCAGAGGGCTCGGAAATGGACAGAAGAATCTCCTAGACCAGCAGGGGTGGGGATGCAGTCAGTGTCCAGGAACGCTCGTCCACTGAAGACTCACACTGCACCAGGGGTATGGGTGGGGGAGCAGGAACGCACCCTCTGGGTGTGTGTTCTTGCCTCTTTGCTGTGTAGTAGGCACCTGTCCCACTGCAGTCAAGTGGCCATGCCCAGAGAAACTGCTTCTGCCACCTGGCACACTCAGATCCAATCCCCAGGGGCCAGGGAAGTCCAAGAATTTGGAAGAAAGTTGGAGGCATTCAGTCAGAGCATAAAGGGGGTGCTGGTTCAATTCCAGGTTACAATGAGACATCCTAGAGCCAAACACTGCGAGATCTTTGCATCCTCTGAGGTTGGAGTCAGAAGAATAGAGATGGAGAAAGTGACTCGTTTCATCCCCTTCTCTGCCTTCTTCTGACAACCCATCTCTTTTCCTTGGGCCTCTGTCACCCCTAGTCCCTTTTTGATACCCCTTTCAGCAGCTCTGCTGCTCCACTCCCTGTTTCATCTATCTTTCTCTCCTTGCAGGAGGATCCTTTCAACAGTGTAACCACGAACCTGGGAAAGCCACTGACCAGCCGGACTCCTCCGCACAGCTCATGCACTTGGCAGTCCAAGACTGCGAATGGAAGAGGATGGCTTCATGCCAGGCTGCCGCTGGGAAGAGACTGGCAAAGGAAGGGACTGATTTGGGCTGGGAACAAAACAGTCTCAAATCCAGGGCACTGGACAGAGAGGACAGACAATGGCAATTGCTAAACTGCCAGGGGCTCTTGGCAACAGCCAAGTTTGTTTCCACTTTATTAATTCCTTTCATGAGGGCTAAGCCAGGGCTGGGATCCTGAGCAACATATCTCCTAGGAGAAGCTCCAGACAAGACATCTGGGCCTGTGCAGCCCCACAGCCGCACTCCCATGTGTCCCTACCAATGCTTATGGACAGGACTATTTCATCTGACCCATGCTGGTATTCCCTGGTCATGAATCCTTGTGATTCCTAGGGGTGCAGTTCCAAATGTCTACCCCAGACCCTTCTGACTATAGCCAAGAGTGAGTCTGCCTTTTCTGGTGAACATCAGCTAGACCTGCTCTGAACTATACACATGCAGGGAAGTCTTCTCCTGGTCTGTGTAGGGCATCCCCCCACAGCGTGGGACCGAATTCTCTTCCTCCAAAGATACCTGGGTAGATAATGGTAAGAATAACATTTTTATAGACAACCCCCTACCCCAAGCAAAAAATTAATTTCTTGTCCTCCTCATTATTACAACTTTTTTTTTTTCCTGTACTGGAGATTGAACATAGGGGCACTCTACCCCCAAGCTAACCCTCAGATTTATTAATTTATTTAGGTACCAGGGATTGAACTCAGTAGCACTCAACCACTGAGCCGCATCCCCAGCCCTGTTTTGTATTTTATTTAGAGACAGGGTCTCCCTGAGCTGCTTAGTGCCTTGCTGTTGCCGAGGCTGGCTTTGAGCTTCGCCATGCCTCCTGTCTCGGCCTCCAGAGCGGCGGGGATTACAGGTGTGCGCCACCATGCCTGGTCAGTGTCCATTTGAAGAAGCTCAGGACTGGTCATCATTTCTGACTGTCCATTTCACTGCCCGACTCTGAGCGAATAAATATTCTTTCAGGGCCTTAGTCTCCTTCTAGGCTGGATGATGAAAGCCAATGGGATCACTTTAGGAGCACAATTTTCTCCCTCATAAATATACAGAAAGATATAAGAAGCTTCAGAAATTAACCGGAACTCAGCCACATGGTGTGTAGTCCCAGCTACTCCTCTGAGATTCTGAGGAGGGAGAATTACTTGAGCAGGAGTTTGAAACTAGCTTGGGCAACATAATGAGACACCTCCCTCTACTTTGCTGTCTAAAAGGGAATTAATTCTTGATGTAAGGAGGTAACAGTATTAGCTATAATGCCCAATATATTTGAGCTAGCTTCTGGAACTAATTTTTAAAATTTTATTTATTTATTTTTTTTAATACCTGGTACTCCACTTAGAGCCTCATGCATGCTATACAAGCACTGTACCGTTGAGCTACATCCATAGCCTGAAACTATTTTTTTTTTAAGTGACAACTTTGTTTTCTTGCATTTTATCCCATAATAAACCCCCCATAAAGAGAAGGGAGGTGGTGCAGGCCAGGGATAAGGAGGGCACAGTGGGAAAGAAATGATTGACAAAGTAGATAATAGAGAGTTGTTAGAGTGCTCTGAATTTCTTCAGGTCATGTTGATGACCTGGGACAATGGTCATGGGAATAAGAGGGCTCTTAAAATCTCAAGACTTACAAAGGACCTTAGAGGCCATCCAGTCTAGCTATTGAGATTGAAAAGAGAGAAAGTAAAAGGAACAGTCAGTTTTCCTGGAACATAAAGAGAGTTGTCACATATGTGTATTAAGGGGAGGGAAAAGGGGGATGTGGTGGAATTTTAAGGTTTTGTTTCTTTTGTTTCTTCATGGTTGTGATTTAGGGCGGAGGTGGCTCTCAGGACTTCAGGCCCCAAGAAAGGTTTATTGAAGGTGCATGGGTTTGCTTGGGCAGACTCTGTGGCCAGAATATCACTCTGAAAGAGGCCGCTCTGCTAATTATAGGGAAACAGACTTACCCTCACCTAGTCTTTCTTTCATCTGAATGCATTCCTCTGGTCCCTGCTCCTGGTCCTCTGTCTTACCAATGAGGAAGGAGCCCACCCTCTGAGAGCAGAAACTGTCAGGCATGGTTAAAATCCTTTCTCCCCCTTGTCTTTCTGCTTGCCTGCCCCACCCCCACAAGACCCTCTTTGCCTCACTAGGCCCAGGGGCTGGGAAACAGCCTCTCTCCCAGCCCTCAATGGCTCTTTTCACAGGAAAGAGCCATTGACAGTGCTGCTTGGAATGGGAATTGGGTGGAAAGAGAAAAGGAGGGAGAGAGAACTACATTAAGGTCTGGCCTCCACTGCAGAATGGAAGGGCATTCAGGTGGTGGCTGCAGACTTGGGCATCACAAAGGGGCAGCTGAGTGGGGATGGGCATTCTGCCCAAGTAAAATGGCCCAAAGTGAAGGAGGCAATCAGAGGAAGAAGTTCCTGAGAAGTGATTTTAGGGGAAAAAACAATCAAAAGGATAAATAGAAGTTGTCTACTTTTCCAAAGAACAAAAGAAAGGACAGTCATTTTGATTATGAAGATTTTGCTACAGGAGATGATTTTGAAAAACAGTTTAAACAAGTAATCAGGGAACCTAAACTATAATTTTTTTTTTTTTTTTTTGGTACCGGGGATTGGACTCAGGGGCATTTGACCATTAAGCCACATTTATTGTTTTATTTAGAGACAGGGTCTCACTGAGTTGCTTAGCATCTCACCGTTGCTGAGGTTGGCTTTGAACTCACAATCCTCCTGCCTCAGCCTCCCGAGCTGCTAAGGCTAAGCTATAATCTTATAATCAATATTATTCTTATAAATAAAACTATTCTTATAAATAAAACATGAAGCTGTGGGTTCAACCCTCAGAATCATTCACACACGCAGAAAAGAAACTTCTTTGTTTTTTAAACCAACTTTCCTTTTCCCCCTAATCTATTCTTTTTCTACATGTAAAGTTAAAATTATATTCAAAGACTTTATATGAAGTATTTAGATACTCAGTATTCAAGCATGGCCCCAGAAATAGACATTAAACCTAGTTAACATTTTATTTTCCATGCAAACAGAGGAGCAATAGCCAAATTAATCCAAAATTCTTTCCAGAGATGAGCACATGCCTGTAATCCCAGTAACTCAGGAGGCTGAGGCAGGAGGATCATAAGTAAACAACTTAGGGAGACCCTGTCTCAAAAAAAAAAAAAATAAATAAATAAAATAACAAGGATTGGAGATCCTTTGCTGTGGAGATCCACAGCAAAGCTCCTCTACGTTCAATCCTCAATACCAAAATTCTTTCTAGATCAGTGCTGTCCAATGTTCTATATTTGGACTGGCCAATATGGTAGTTACTACACACATGTGCCTATCGAGCAATTGAAATATGGCAAGTGTGATAGAGAAACTGAATTTTTTTGCGTGTGAGTGTTGGGGATCGAACCCAGGGCCTTGTGCTTGCAAGGCAAGCACTCTACCAACTGAGCTATATCCCCAGCCTGAGAAACTAAAATTTTAATGGAATTTAAGTTAAAACTTAAATAAACATGTAGCTAATGGCTACCATATTGGATGGCTGAGGTTTTCTTTTTCTTCTTTTCTTTCTGTTGTGCTAGGGATTGAACCCAGGGCCTCACCCAGGCTAGGCAAGCACTTTACCAGTAAGCCACATCCCTAGCTCAAAACAGCTTGGTTCTGGATGTTTTAGCAGACATTTCATTTGCTTTTTCACAAGGGATTGCTTTCCATTTGGTTTTGGCCCATAGTGAGTTTATGTTCTCTGATCACATTCTGACAAGTTGCAAAATGAAACAGCCCAGAAGCATTCTGGTTGGCAAGGGCAACCAGCCTGTGATTTTAAACTGGCCGTGGGGACTTCCCATGGATACAATCAGGAACTGACAATATGTATGTTATGAGTAAGGACAAAATGAGGGCTTTAATCTAGCAGAGAAAAACGATGAAAATCTTTTTAAAAGTGTACTTCCTCTTGAACTTCAATTTCAAAACCTAAAGGGTGGGACTGCGGGTGTAGCTCAATGACAAAGTGTTTGCCTGGCATGCTCAAGGCCCTGGGTTAGATTCCCAGTACCATTAAAAAACAAAATCAAAGTAAAATAATAAAAAGAGAGAGGACAGAGAGACAGAAAAAACACTGATGGCTAAGTTTACTTAACTCATGCCCTATGAGAGGCATTTCCATATGCTCCTTATATGAAATATTTTTTTAAAATTTTAAAGAAATATTTTTACAATTTTATTTATTTTTGGATACTAGCAATTGTATCCATGGGTGCTTTACCACTAAGCTATATCCTCAGTCTTGTTTATTTTTTGAGACAGGGTCTTTATAAGTTGCTGAGGGTGGCCTTGAATTTGCACTCCTCCTGCCTCAACCTCCCAATTGCTAAAATCACAGTCATTTTTCCACTGCACCTGACCTCGTTGCTACTGTCTAAGCTAGAAAGTAGAGTGCCACTGTGCTTTACTTTTAAAAGTTGTTTCTTGGAAAAATTAAATCTTTTTTTTTTTTCCTCTTCACTTTTGAGTATCAGGAATTGAACCCAGGGCTTCATGCTTGCTAGGCAAATGCTTTACCACTGAACTACATCCCCAGCCCTTGGAGGAAGTAATCCGCCAAGACCTCTGTTTTATTTTGACCACTGCTTATCCTTGATAACCAAGAACTTGCATTAACCTCTCTATAGCCCTTTTTGCTATCCTTCCCAATCCCCCTTCCCTATCCCCTTGTTTCCCCCAACCCACCTTCCCTCCCCAACATGCTCCTCCTCCTCACCTGGATGTTCCTCTTGATGATGTCCCTGGTCAGTTGTACCTTGCCTGTACTGGGATCCACCCCAGCCAATGGCACCATCACCTCCCCAATGACGTCATCCCGAGAGAAGCGATCAAAGCTGAGGACGAGGAAATGTAGCACCAGGTCCTGCAATTGGCTGTAAGGAATTCCGTAGAAGGTGAAGGTCTCATCAAACACGGGGTCCAGGGTCTTCCGCAGCACTCTGGTCTTCACCCGATGCCGCTTGTCAGGAAGGATGGTCATTTTGATGTAGGGGTCAGAGCCCTGGGTCTGGTCATCCATCACTGGCAGCCCATGGGCCTCCTGGATTGTCACCACCAGGGCTTTTTTCGGGAAGTTATAGTCCACTGAGAAGGTGAGGGATCCTAGCATGACATCCTCCTCTGGAGATGATGGAGAGGTGGTTTTGCTCTCCCCAGGGGTCAGGCTTGTAATGGGGCTCCTCAGTTCTTCCCCATAGTCCATTTTGATGGGCAATTGGTCTATACAAGATCCAGAGGTGGGCCCCCTGGGATCCTTGTCTCGGCTCAGCAGGCCAGCCTCTGCTGCATCCACCAACAGGTTCCCGCGGCCACCTTCCCTCCCAGGGCCATCTTTGTCTCTCCGCACTTTGATGATTTTCTTCTTGTTGCTGAGGGTCTCTGGGTATATGCTGATGCCTTTGAGCATGTGAATAAACTTGTACGGTGGGGTCTTGTGCTTCTTCTCTGCCTGCTGATGGCAGCATGTCCAGACAAAGACAGTCACTGAAACACACACCACCAGTACAGAGGCCCCGATGAGGCCAGCCACCACTGGTGACACATCTGAAGGCAGAGACCAGAGATGCGTCAAGGCAGGTGGATTTCAACCCCTGTCCAGAGCCTCCCGCTCAGTGCCTCTGCTGGAGCCAAGCTAACCTGCAACCTATCCTTTGAAGGAGAAGATACTCATTTGGTCTTTGGAGCTTTTCCCTTCTCTTAGAGATGCCTTCACCCACCCTCTCCATCCAATTCATGCCTTTTCCTTTCTGCCAAACCTGGATGAGAAGTTTAGCTGTCTTTGAAGTGCCCCACCTGTCTCTCTGTTCTTTTCTTGATCTTCTCTCAGTAGTTACAGACTTGGTTTGATCATATTGATTTATGCTTCCCATAAAGCTGCTCTGTCTATGTTCTAAGGTCACCTTTCTCCCTGGGGACCTGTTCACCTCAACTCTTATACAAGGGCATAAGCTGCAACTTTGGTTTTAGGAGGACATTCCATAGCACCCAGTATAGGGTTTGAAAACAGTGATCCGGTGTAGACTGCCAGGTTGTGGGGGAAGTTGTGGAATTAAATTTAGATGGTCTTGGTGGGGTGACCAAGGGCAATATAAGACTATGGATAGTTAAAAGAACTCTGGATCTGCATACTTTCAAAATATATTTCAAAATTTCAGCTCCAAGATATTTAAAGTATTTTAAATAGGAAGAAATAGGGACTATGGAAAATGTCACATCTTAATGTCTCCTTCTCAGCAAGACTTTTCCTGACTACCCTACTGATTTATTTATCATGGTGCTAGTGATGTATCCCAGGGCCTCTTGCATGCTGGGCAAGCACTCTACCACTGAGAGGCACCCCCAGTGTTGATTACCCTATTTAAAAAGTGCAACCTTCTCCACCTTCAACACCCGCACTTCCCGTCCTGTTTAATGTTTTCATATGCCTCGTCATTATCTCTCACATATTTGTACATGCATGCAAGAAAAATACACACATCTGTAAGAAAAATAAATATATACACCACCCATAATTTTACTATTTATTGTTTTATCTTCTCTAGAATGTGAGCCTCAAGAGGGTAGGACTTTCTGTCTGCTCTGTTCATTGCTGTATCCCCAGTGCTTAAAATACAGTGGGTATGTATGTGTTTGATGAACAAATAACTAATGAGAAACAGATCTTTTTAATCTTCACTTTTCCTCATTTTGTCTCTTTCCACAACTACTGGACCCTGCTTTAGATAATCAGGTTTGGGCTCTTCCCCTTATCTCAAGTTCACTGAAGGAAATTGGTTTTTGGCTTTTATAGCTCTAGAAAGGGCTAGTAGCTTTCACCTTACTTTTTAAAAAATATTTTTAGTTGTAGACAGACATAGTACCTTTATTTTGTTTGTTTGTTTATTTATTAATTTAATGTGGTGCTGAGGATTGGACCCAGGGCCTCATGCATGCTAGGCTCTACCACTGAGCTACAGCCCCAGCCCTCACCTTACTTTTTAAGGAAAGACTCAGGAGACAGGGAGAGCTAAGGAAATAAATGTGATTTCAGCATATTCCATATTTTTCCTGGAACATCCTTCTCCCAGGCGTCTGCATGGCTTATTGCTTCACTTACTGCAGGGCTCTGCTCAAACCCTACCTTATCAGAGAAGCATTTCCTGTCTGCCTCAAGTGAGAAAATATACCTATTACCCTCCTTAATTTTCGTCATAGTGTTTATTACCCTGACTTATGTTTGTCTGGCTTCCCTCACCAGATAAGTTTAATAACAGTGACATTGCCTGTTTTGTTCACTGCTCAGGTTCTAGAACCATGTGGAATATACTAATTGCTCAATGAACAACTGAGTTAGTTAATTTAAACTAACCTCCACAGATTAGAAAACGAGGATGAGGTCAGTATGATTACATATCAGGGATAAATATAAATTTCTACTTGGACTTAAAAACCTACCTATTGGCAATAACCTCACTTGATAAAGTTGGACAAAAATGACTTAGTAGTTTCGGTGAGCAGAGGCTTGGATTAAATTTAGGTTAAATCAACTTGTACCATAAGCATGAAATCCAGATCTCACAAGGGGTAGATATAATTTCATCTGCACTGGTCACAGCACATATAGAACATTCTGTATAGCAATGATAATAATAAAACTGCTGTTTTTTTTTTTTTTTGGTGTGTGTGTGTGTGTGTGTGCACGCATTTATCATGTCCCTGCCAGGGATATGTCTGAATCAAAGAACTCATTGAATAGGATTATTAATATCTCTCCTTTTTAATTAAGAAATCTGGGAATTCAGAAATCTGTCTAAGGCTACATACTAAAAAATGGTACTAGATTTAAATTCTAGTCTGCCTGATACCATAGTCCATTCTCTACATCATGAATAATCACTATAGTAAAAAATTAGAAACTATATCAAATGAAAAATTGAAGCAACTAGAGCTGGGGTATCTAAGAATAATAATCATCTTTAATTAAAATTACGTTAGATATTTTGATGGAAGGATGCTGGATTTGATCCATTCAAGTACAGGGCCAGTACCAATGTGCACAGGTTATAGGAAGACACATTAAAAAAAATTTTTTTTTGTAGTAGTAGATGGACAGCATGCCTTTATTTTGTTTCATCTTTATGTGGTATTAAGGATCAAACCCAGTGCCTCACACATGCTAGGCAAGCACTCTGCCTCTGAGCTGCAGCCCCAGCCCCAAAGACAGATTTTTGACTCAATGAAAAGAGTCAAATTATTATTAGAACTGCCTCACAACCAGGTGTGGTGACGCATGTCTGTAATCTCAGTGACTTGGGAGCCAGAGGCAGGAGGATAACGAGCTCAAGGCTAGCCTCAACAACTTAGGGAGACCCTGTCTCAAAATTAAAAAAGGGATGGAGATGTAACTTGGTGGTAAAGTATCCCTGTGCCCAATCCCAAGTACCAAAAACCAAATCAAGACAAAAACAAAGAACTGCCTCACAGTAACCTGGATGGCTTGATGAGAGCTATTCTCCAATAGAAAAATTTCAAACAAAGAAGTTGGATAATGATAATTCGGGCATGTTTGAAAAGGAATTTCTTTAACAGGAATTGGAATAGATGGCTCAGAAATTCTACCTCAACATTCCATGGCTCTACAAAAGTTGGGAACCAATAAGAAAAGAAGGGGTTACATTTTAAAATAATATATCTGAGGAGTAAAACAATTATTATTTTTCTTTGAGGTGTCTTACACATATTAAGCAAATGCTCTACCACTGAGCTACACCTCCAACCCCCAAAACCATCATTACCAAAATAAATTAATGTAACTATGTCTATGTCCATGGACACAGTTCCGTCTCAAATATGAAATGAAATATGCAGGTTTTAGGGGTTTTTCAAAAACTAGAGGCATCCTTAGTGGTAAGCTCCTTGAGGGCAAGCAGGAATAACACTTTGTTTGTCTCTGAATCCCTCAGAGTGTCTTATACATCTAATGGGAGATTAGTAAATATTTGAACAACTGATTAGATTCTCATTGTCAATCAGATCAGCCACAATCTGGAGTGGCTTTTCACTCCTCAATCAGGGGCTTTCCTACAAATTGCTTTCTACTGCTTAGTGAAACTCAACACTAATTGCCTGTAAAAAGAGAAAAGCTGACAACTACAAAGAAAGGTATATTTTTGAGAATGATTTGAAAGGGAAGACTAAAGGCCCAGATTGGAAAACATCTGTGCAATTCTTCTGGCACTAGCATAGATTTACTCTGGGATTGTGAAGGAACTAACTGCTGCTTAAATACATCCACTTTTTCAAGAAAATGGAGACAAGATGACAAAGAGAGATGAAAGAGTCTCATAATTTAGGACAGAGAAGGAAAGAAGAGAAACAGGTGAACCCATCTACAGATTACCCAGGTGCTCTCCCTCATCCTGTTTCCTACCTTTGCCCTACTTTCTCTATTTCAGAATTTGTTAACTCCTGCCTCTGTCCTCAACACCCAAGGCAGTGAACGAGAAAAATCTGATATGTTGAAACTCAAAGCCTTCTGTCTTGCTTTACTCAAAAGCCTGGTGGGAAAGGAAGTTGGAATTAATGACTGAAGTGAGTGATTTAAAGTGGCTGTACATTGCAATGACCTGTGTTGCTTGCTCCTTTTGTCCTCCAAGGTCATGGATAATTTACTGTTGGCTTGGTGTGTTCACCTAATGCTCTGAGTATTTTAAATGAAGTACTCAATGAGTTGTGAAGAAGCCAGAAGTCAGAAGCAGCAGTTCTCTATGGAGGAGACTCTCTGTAAGTGTCTAGAGAATTGCAAGACACATCTGGGCCAAATCCAACTACTCTAGCTACTTCATCTTTGAGAAGGCCTGATTTTTTTGGCAGTGGGGGGTGGTTTACTGGGGATTGAACTCAAAGCTGCTTTGTCACTAAAATACATTCTCAGCTCTTATTATTTATTTTTTAAATTTTAGGACAGAGTTCTGCTAAGTTGCTTAGGACCCCACTAAATTGATGAGATTGTCCTCAAATTTGGATCTGCCTGCTTCAGCTTCCTAGGTTGCTGGGATTACAGGCTAATGCCACACAACCAGCTCACACCAGCTTATTTACACTTCTTTTCCTAAACATAGCCCTTCACTGTCTAGTTGGCCATAATATAGTAAAATGAGAATGAATTTGGGCATCAGACATTGATTCAATTCTAGCACTACCCTCACTAGTTCCTTTGACTTTAGCCAAGTTCCTTGAGCTTGTATGCTTATCTGTTATGTAATTATACCTACAACAGAAGGTACTTTTTAGGACGAAATAGAATGTTGTATGCAAATGGCTGAAATGTATTTTCCCCTTTTCTACTATTATTCCCTATAAAGGAAATAACTGTATTGTATTCTGCATCATCTACTTTTCAAGGACTCTGGAACTGCACTTAGAGAAAGGTATCTTTTGGAAAGAGGACATAAGGAGAAAAAGAGCAGGAAGAAATCATGGGTTGCTCATGTGATCACAAAAAGGGACTTCAGTTTTAGAAACTTAGGACTCAGGATAGAGATGCAGGAGGTGAAGGGGAAGAAAGAAATACCATCAAGATTCAGCCATGTGGAATAGATGGGAACAAGCAGTTAATGGGTGTGAAGATCTGTTCTTTGGCTATTTCCCCTAGTCTGATTGTTCTTCCTTATTTCCAGGGGCTGGAGCACATTAAGAGTCTGCTTATTTCCATATAGTTCTTACTGGGGAGTGAGAAAAGCCATTTTCTATCTGGCTCATGTGCCTACCCTAAATACTGAAATCTGATGCCTCAAACCTTCTGTCTGAGGGATAGAAACCCTAAGGGACAGCAAGGTTCTTAGTCTGGCAGCAACTCTAATTCGCTTCCCCCAATCTAAACTGTAGTAGAAGAGAGGAAGGAGCAGGGCAATTTAATTTATTTATTTGACCAGGAAGCACAGCATAAGAAGTTTGCTCTCCTAGTACGTTTTGGAGGAATTCCCAAAGAGGAAAAAACTTGCTTCTTAACCTTGTCTTTCTCTCACATTTTCTCTATTTTCCACTCACTTTTTTGCCCCAGGAGTGTAAAACTGATCTTGAAGCTCACAGGGCTGGGTCCGGGACCAGCCGCTCCGAGATGACGTAATGCTTTCTCTGGTACACAAAGCGGCCTCCCCAGGGCTGGGCCTCTCTCGCCCCTCCCCCTCCGGCCTGGAACGCACCCCCGCCAGCACCAGCGCGGGTGAGTCCCCTTTTTGAAAAGCTAGCCCGGGGAAACAGGGAACAAAGGCCCAGGAAGGAGAGCCTAGGCGCTGCCAGGAGGCCCAGAAATAGACATCACGTCATCCCCCAGCCCAGCAGCGCCTAGCGCCATTTGGTAGCATCAGTCGGACCCCACCATTACGATGCAGAATGGAGCTTGCAGGGTTCACGTTTCCTCCCAGAACCAGCATCCAGCTGACCGGTTTAAGGAGTGGCTTCCTTTTTGCTCCCACCCCCGCACCCCTCTTCCCCAGAGGCCGCAGCCTCCCCTGGCTGCCAGCCATACAGCCCACAGTCTCCAAGCTGCCATCTTGATGCCCCATCCCCCTTGCCACTTCCCTCCCCCGCAGTCCTTAGAAGTGGGAGGGGGAGGTAGGGGCACCGCCCTGCGTGGCCCAAGGGGGAGGGCTCGGCCTACCCCACCTCTCCTCCCCCAGAAGGAGGGTTCACGTCCTCCGCACCGTCGCCGTTTCTCACCTCCAGCAGTGCTGACAGTGCACCACACAAGGTTTTAGCACCCTGGACTTCCCCGCCCTCGGTGTCGCTCTGGCCTTGCCAGCCCCTGCAGCCCACAGCTCAAGTTCAGGCGCCGTCCACTCCCCGCTACCCGCCACCAGAGGCCCGATCCTAGCAGGGTTGGCACTTTGAAAGCTCTGTCTGGGCTTCACTCCCAGCCCATTGCCGGGCCCTTTGGCTTTGCCACGGTTCTGACCACCTCCAGCTTAGTTTTCCCGACTCTACTTACCAAAGCTAGGTCGGATATTGGTGATCTCAGCCATGTCGTAATCAGAGGCTGTTGCTATAAATGCTCTCGTAATGGTCAGACAACTCTGGGAACCCCTGGCCAGTACCGAGGTCGCCGCTGTGGAGCTGTAGGTCAGGGTAGGGGGAAGGTATCTGGCGGACGTCCCCTGCGACGGTCCGATCCCTGGTTGCCAGCTGCGCCCTCCTCTTAAGATGCTCCAAGGATGCTCTGAGCTAAGGATGCAGGTGCAGTCAGACTGGTCCTGATGAGAGATAGGCTCCGCCTTTTTCCGAAAGGCCCTCGGTAGGAGACTCCGCCTCTGTCCGAAAGGTTCCGGAATGCAGGTCCCTCCCCTTTCCGGAAGACCTCCGACGGGAACCCCTCCCACCACCGAGTTTTCCTGAGCATGAGGTCCCGCCCACTGGCCGGCTGTGGGTGATTGAGGCGAAAGTCCCCAAACCAGAGAAAGAAGGGTAGGAAGGTCCAGCTGTATGTAATTCCAGCTACTTGGGAGGCTGAGGCAGAAGGGTTTCAAGTTCAAGGCCAGTCTCGGGCATTTAGCAAGACTTTGTCTTGATATATATATATATATATATATATATATATAAATAATAAATAAATGAAAAAGGGCTGGGATGCCAACTTAGTGGTAAAAAGCCGCTAGGTTCAATTCCCAGTACCCTGGGCTCTGGAGGCGGGGCAGGGAGAAAGTGTAGGTAGATTATTCTATGAGAGTCCATCGATTCTTTAGATCTGTTCTCAGGGGTGTTTTATAGGAGCAGAATGTTGTGGGTTCAGGTTTTTGGAAAAATCCTATACTGCCTGGATTTCAGTATCTGATTGCCATTATTGTCTCACATTTCTGAGACCACTGAAGGTAATTGTAGAAAACTCTAGAAACTCTGATTAAAGACCAAACCTGGAGAGGAGGTGCAATAGTTCTGAAAATTTACAAAAATCATTGAACTCTTTATGGAAAACTGATGGATTTTTGTGGTTTATAAATTAAAAAAAAAAAAAAACCCACCATTTAAAAAAAATTATGAAATTGCCTAAGTGTTGAATTAGTGTTAAAGTGCCTAATTAGTGTTGAATATTCTTCTTCTATGAGTGGTAACTGCTTAGGGTTGAATAGGAAAGGAGGAGTAGGAGCAGTAACCCAAAAGATCTGTGTATTTTGTAGGTCAAAAGGACACAAGGCAGAAACGGTGGAAAATACCTGTAATTCCAGCTACCCAAAGGTCGAGGCAGGAGGATTATAAATTGGAGGCCAGTCAGGGCAACTTCAGATCCCCAGATTTCTTGTCTTCCCCTCACTAAAAAAAAAAAAAAGAACCGAAGTGAAACTTCCAAACTTTTGGACACTTCCTTGCTAATTTATGAGACAATGTGATTCTCGTCAAACTACTGGCGATTATAGCCATGATTACATTAATTTCACCCTTTATTTTGCTCACCTGTAAAATGAGGGAGCGAAATACTTTTTTTTTGAGGGGGAAGGGGTATACCAGGGATTGAACCTAATGGTACTTAACCACTAAGCTACATACCCATCCCTTTTTATTTTGAAACAGGGTCTCCTAAATTGTTGAGGCTCGCTTTGAGCTTCTAATTCTCCTGCCTCAGCTTCCCGACCTGCTGGAATTACAGGAGTGCGCCACTACGCCTGTCGCATTTTCCTAGTTTGGTCATTCTGTCCTTCCAGAAAAGTGGAAAGAACCAGGCGTGTGGAGGCTGAGGCATGAGAATTGCAAGTTCAAAGCCAGCCTCTGCAATTAAGTGAGGCCCCCAAGGAATTTACCGAAACCGAAAAGGGGTGGGGATATGGATAAAGCTCAATAGTAAAGCGCCTCTGGGGTTCAAGCCCCAGTTCACACACATACACACACACACACACACACACACAAAAGACCCTGGTCCTAGATGTCATTCATTCATTCAAAATACATGTATCGAATTATTGAATATTGACTATGCCCCCAGAAACTTTCCTTCATGAGTCACGCATTAGGAGATAAAGTTAGGATACCAGATGCCTGATTGCCCTTGATTTTCCTAGGGTGTACCTAGGCAAAATCACCTATTCAGCTAAGCCAGAACTTTGTCCTTTGCAAACTGGAAAATTAAATAATAATGTCCGTTGGCTCACAGTTTATTCTGAAGACCAAACTATCTAAGATGATGTAAGTGAAAGCATTTTAAAAATGAAGAGTATTATATAGATCTAAATAATTTGCTGTAATTTGAATCCAAATCGGCCTTTGTTTATTTTGTCCTGCTGGTCCCAGTCCCCCACCCCTTACTGGGGATGGAATCCAGGGACGCTCTACCACTGAGCTACTTTCCCAGCCTTTTTATTTCTTATTTTGATTCAGGGTCTCGCCAAATTGCCATGCTGGCCTCGAACTTGCGACCCTCCTGCCTCAACCTCCCGGTGCTGAGGTGTGTGTTATTGCGCCCCAATCAGCCTTAGTTTTATTTAGGAATCAGGGCCCCCTTCCCCCCAGGAATTGTATCCAAGGGCGCTTTACCACCCTCAGCCCTATTTTATATTTTATTTATTTTACTGAGTTGCTTAGAGCCTCCCTTTTGCAGAGGCTGGCTTTGAACTCGCGATTCTCCTGCTTCACGAGTCGCTGGGATTACAGACTGGCGTGGCGCCGGCAGGAACTAGTATTGTTTATAATCTAGATCCCTCTTTCTGAAGTTTTAGGTCTTGGTTTCTTCCTGTGTCCCGGAAGTTTCGTAGGGATGTAGGGATGTTTTGAATCTCAATCCCCAGTTTTGAGCAAGATAGTTTCATCGATAGAAAAAGCGAAGTCATGCCTTTAATTTTTTTTGCCAGTAACCGACGTACTAGCGCTGGCTTCATTTGACCCTGAAGAGGATGGCGCCTAGCATATTGTGCACGCTCCTTGACTTTCTTAGTCGCCGCCCACCGCGACTCGGGGGCGCGCACGTCAGTCCCTGCCGTTGCCTGACTTCCGCTGGTGCAGGAGCTGAGTTTCCGCGGGATTAGGCCGGTTTGTGAGGGTACTGGGTAGTGCGCGGTGGGGCGGGAAGAGGCAGGTGGCGTCCAGGGCTCCTGTGAGTAGGGTGTCCTGGATGAGGGGCGTCGGGTGGGTAGGTGGGCGCCGGGTGCGCGACGGGAGTTAGGGGCGAGACGTTGTCTGGTTGATAGTGGGACTTGGCCAGCGCTTGGCGCCGAGGCGAATAGCGCATTTCGGACCTCTTTTTGAAAAGCTTTCCCTGGAGGAGGCCGCGCCTCGGCTGCCTCTGGACTGGCATTCATTCATCCTGGGGTCGGACTCAGGCTCCCGAGGGAGTGGACTCTTGAGCTACTGCAGTGTGTGAGGTGCTTGGAGCCGACCCCTGCACGCTCCTGACTGAATAGTAGCAGCTTTTGCTTTTTCTAATTTCTTCCCTTTCTCTTCTGGCCCTCAGTAACTCATCTGTAAATGAAGGAGTCGTGTAAGTTACTCCCACGCCACTCCTTACTCCCTTACCACCCTCCCTCACAGGGACCAGGCATCTTCCCGTTATTGAAGTTTGTCAAGATAAGAACATTGGCTGATTTGGGCGTTTCCACCGATGTTCTAAAGAAACGGAATTAGGGAGGTTTAATACTAATCTTACAGGTCAAACTCTCAGAGGTAGTCCAGGCTTCCAGGCTTTCCCTATTAGGTGGGCATTCAGACTTCGGTTGAATATTGTCATTGATGGAGAACCCTCTGTTAACTCAAGGCAGCTTATTCTGTCTTGGACCTACTTATGAGAGTAAAGTATTCCTGGGTTGAACAATGCTGTTTCCACATAATGCTTAATCCAAGTGCTGCGCAGTCGTTCAAGCCCTCTTTCATTCATTCACTTACTCAGGGAATATATATTGAGTATTTCCAATATCCAAATACTACTGGATACTAGGGATGCCAGGTGAAGGAGTCATTTTTCTCAAGAAGCTCATAGTTTTGGAGGAAGAAGACATAAAAGTAAAGATATAATTACAAAGGTAGTAAATACTATAAAAGCAGTTTGCAAATAGGTGCTCTAAGGATATAAAGGAAGGTGTGCTGCATTTAGGCTAGTTATTGTCCTTACAATATGACAACTAGAATTGAAGCCAAGAGTCCAGGAGTAACAATGGAGAGAACAGTAGAAATCTCTTCCTCGTTCCAAAAGAAATTTTGTGTTAATATAACTAAACACACTTTGCTTTTGCTTTTGGATTGTTTCTGTTAAGGATATACTTGTTTATGAATACATCAGAAGCAAACATTTATTAATCTTTCTTACCAGCTAATGATGTGGGTGCACTTTTTATTTCATTTTATAGCTGGAGAGACTAAACTTTAGGTTAATTTATTGATGCAAGATTACAAAGCTGGAGTGAAATTAACTTGAGAAACAAATCCAGTTAGAGTATGTATTTGCTTTCAGCATCATACTGTTCTACCTTCTTGATGATGGTAACAATAATAACACATTTATTAATCACCACCATTTAATTTTTTAAAAAAAATATTATGCTACCATTTAATATTTGTAACAATTCAGGTGAGAATAATTTTTTTGAACTTTTTTTTTTTTTTTTTTAACAGTTGAGAAAAAAGAAGTTTACAGAGTTTTAATCATTTGGCCAAGGTAACATACTAATCAGTTGTAAAGTTGGAATTTGAACTCAGGCACTCTAATCATTGTTTCTCTTCTTCTACCTAATGGAATACTGTGCATTTTGTGTAAAGAATTGTATTTGTGATTGGATGTGAATAAAATGAAAAGGTAATTGATAAAATGTTATTATCATTAATTAATATGAAGTTGATAAGAACTTTTTTATCCTTTTAGGATGGAATAAAAGTGGGACTTTTAAAATGATGCCGTGTAAGAAGAGAAGAACTACAGCAACAGAATCTCCACAGCATAAGGGCAACCCAGAGGAAGACAACTTAGATGTAGAGTCAGCTGTTAAACCAGAATCTAACCAGACTAAAGACTTGGGGTCTGTGTCAATATCCTGGGGTCCAAATCATGGCAGAGCAGTTGGCCTTGAAGTTCAATCTTTGCAGGATGCAGGAAATCAGCTTGGTGTGGAGGATTCATCTTTAAGTTCTAGGACACTCATCCAGGACACAAATTTGCCAATTTTGGAAGCTGTTGATGTGGCTATCTCTCAGGAAATCACCCTACCTTCCTTGGTGTCTTCCCATCCCCTTAATATATCCATTGGTAAAGGAAAACTCCAGGCCAGTGCCTCAAAGAGAGGGAAAAAAACTGTCCTCAGGCCTGGGT